TTTCTACGTTGATTCAATGTCAGTTTGCTATCTGGGCATTGATGGCCTAAGACACGAAACGAACAGTACAGAAACAGAAAACGAACAGTACTATTTATATCATTTTACCTCGTGTATTTTGATGAGCTCTTGCAAATTGTCGCCTCTTTTTCCTATTTGTAGTGGAGATGAGTGGTACCCGGTGGGGTCTTCTGCTGTTGTAGCCCATCCGCCTCAAGGTTGTGTGTGTTGTGTCTTCTTCACAAATGCTTTGCTGCATACCTCGGTTGTAATGAGTGGTTATTTCAGTCAAAGTTGCTCTTCTATCAGCTTGAATCAGTCGGCCCATTCTCCTCTGACCTCTAACATCAACAAGGCATTTTCGCCCACAGGACTGACGCATACTGGATGTTTTTCCCTTTTCACACCATTCTTTGTAAACCCTAGAAATGGTTGTGTGTGAAAATCCCAGTAACTGAGCAGATTGTGAAATACTCAGACACCAACAACCATGCCACGCTCAAAATTGCTTAAATCCCATTTCTTTCCCATTCTGACATTCAGTTTGGAGTTCAGGAGATTGTCTTGACCAGGAACACACGCCTAAATTCATCAAAGCAACTGCCATGTGATTGGTTAATTGGATAATTGCATTAATGAGAAATTGAGCAGGTGTTCCTAATAATCCTTTAGGTGAGTGTACATCAAAATACCGCGAGAGCGATAAGAACCTTACCCCAGACCTAAACCTACCCCTGAACCTACCTCGTCACCTAACCGACGTTAAAGGTAAAGCGTCAGTTGTATGACGGCCCGGGATCGCCATGTAACCGACGTTTAAACCCTTAAAAGGTGGATGTTGACGTATATCAGTTATATGACTTCTTGGGATGAGACTGTGTTAGCTTATTCATAACCTTAAGGCTAACATATTCGTACTAAAAGCTACAAAACGTACATTTTGATATCAGGAGGCCATTACGACTGAATGGGCAGACAAATTTGTGAATATGCTGGGGTTTTATTTGTTGTTTATGTATTTTATTTTACAATAAGACCAGTAACAAATATTAAGAAAATTTTTTTGATTTCATAGCTAATAAAGAGCTGTGCCATTGCAATAGCAAATACTTGATGGAGCTCCTGCATGCTTTTTTGTTTAATAAGTTTGGAACAATCAATAGGCTATAATACCAAAGTGAATAAAATGCCAAACGTAAGTCATCAGTGTAGCAAAAAAAAAAAAAAAGTAATATTAAAGCTGCAAGCAGCGATGGGCGGGCCCTCGCACCTGTAGCGAGTCGGGGTGTGAGGCGCCGCGTTGCATATTCTGCAGCTCGGCCAGTGCGGCTGTGCATTTGCTATGCTTCTTCGTTAAAGGTCACTTCCTGTTGCCAGCAGGTGGCGCTATGACTGTGGGAGAATGTCGGCATATAGATTTGTTCAGGGCGGCACTATTGTCAAATGTGTTAAATTTCGTGCAGATCTGGGCATTTACAGCCAAGTTACTACAACTTCCTGTTTCATGGCGCATCATCGACGCCACGGACACGCCCATCGACGAAAATGCGCAGATAGCACAACTTTACATCGTCAATGCCTTTAGAAGGCACAGCAGAAATTTGAAGTCGATCCGACTAAATCCCTAGGAGGAGTTCGTTAAAGTACTGAGTGTGTAAATCGTCCCAAAATGGGCGCCAAATTCAAAATGGCCGACTTCCTGTTGAGTTTAGGGTATGGGTTCTTGAGGCTTTTTTGTGCGTCTTGATATGATACACGTCCCCACCAAATTTCGTGTTTGTAGGTTGAACGTGGACGAGGGGCTAATTTTTTCCAATTTTCTAGGTGGCGCTAGGGAGCCATTTTGCCACGCCCATCCGCGAAACCCACAAAATACGAAATTTTTCACCAGTCCTGACATGCGTGCCAAATTTGGTGAGTTTTTGAGCATGTTGAGGCCCCGAAAATGGCGCTTACTTTGCAGAAAAAATAAAAAATTAAAGCTGCAAGCAGCGATGGGCGGGCCCTCGCACCTGTAGCGCGTCGGGTTGTGAGGCGGCCGCGTTGCATATTCTGGAGCTCAGCCGGTGCGGCTGTGAATTTACTACGCTTCATTAAAGGCCACTTCCTGTTGCCAGCAGGTGGCGCTATGACTGTTGGTGAATGTCGGCATGTAGATTTGTTCAGGGCGGGACTCTTGTCAAATGTGTAAAATTTCTTGCAGATCTGGGCATTTACAGCCAAGTTACTACAACTTCCTGTTTCATGGCGAATCATAGACGCCACGGACACGCCCATCGACGAAAATGCGCAGATAGCACAACTTTACATCATCAATGCCTTAAGAAGGCACAGCAGAAATTTGAAGTCGATCTGACTAAGTCCCTAGGAGGAGTTCGTTAAAGTACGGAGTGTGTAAATCGTCCCAAATCGGTCGCCAAATTCAAAATGGCGGACTTCCTGACGAGTTTAGGGTATGGGTTCTTGAGGCTTTTTTGTGCGTCTGGTCATGGTAGATGTACCACAGAAATTTCGTACATATCGGTCAAACAAGCGGCGGGGGCTGCTTCGTTAAAGGACACTTCCTGTTGTCAGCAGGTGGCGCTATGACTGTGGGTGAATGTCGGCATGTAGATTTGTTCAGGGCGGGTCTCTTGTCAAATGTGTAAAATTTCGTGCAGATCTGGGCATTTACAGCCAAGTTACTACAACTTCCTGTTTCATGGCGAATCTTCGACGCCACGGACACGCCCATGGACGAAAACGCGCAGATAGCACAACTTTACATCGTCAATGCCTTTAGAAGGCACAGCAAAAATGTGAAGTCGATCCGACTAAAGCCCTAGGAGGAGTTAGTTAAAGTACTGAGTGTGTAAATCGTCCCAAAATGGGCGCCAAATTCAAAATGGCGGACTTCCTGTCGAGTTTAGGGTATAGGTTCTTGAGGCTTTTTTGTACGTCTGGTCATGGTAGATGTACCACATAAATTTCGTACATGTCGGTCAAACAAGCGGCGGGGGCTGCTTCGTTAAAGGTCACTTCCTGTTGCCAGCAAGTGGCGCTATGACTGTGGGTGAATGTCGGCATGTAGATTTGTTCAGGGCGGGACTCTTGTCAAATGTGTCAAATTTCGTGCAGATCTGAGCATTTACAGCCAAGTTACTACAACTTCCTGTTTCATGGCGAATCGTCGACGCCATGGACACGCCCATCGACGAAAATGCGCAGATAGCACAACTTTACATCGTCAATGTCTTTAGAAGGCACAGCAGAAAGTTGAAGTCGATCCGACTAAATCCCTAGGAGGAGTTCGTTAAAGTACTGAGTGTGTAAATCGTCCCAAAATGGGCGCCAAATTCAAAATGGCCGACTTCCTGTTGAGTTTAGGGTATGGGTTCTTGAGGCTTTTTTTGTGCGTCTTGATATGATACACGTCCCCACCAAATTTCGTGTTTGTAGGTTGAACGTGGACGAGGGGCTAATTTTTTCCAATTTTCTAGGTGGCGCTAGGGAGCCATTTTGCCACGCCCATCCGCGAAACCCACAAAATACGAAATTTTTCACCAGTCCTGACATGCGTGCCAAATTTGGTGAGTTTTTGAGCAAGTTGAGGCCCCGAAAATGGCGCTTACTTTGCAGAAAAAAAAAAAAAAATAACCCTAACAGTTTCAATAGGGTCCTCGCACTGTTAGTGCTCGGGCCCTAAAAATGTATACCACTGAGGGAAGAAGTCACAACCAGTATGTATTCTCACATTTCACTAAATTTATTGAATGACAAAAACCATTGAAAACGTTCACATTACATTCAAATGTTCAAGAAGTGATTCCCAAGTTCAACAGGATAGTCAAAAACAGCATTACCACATCTAAATGGTGCAAAACATCGTATGATACCTTATTTTATTAAATACGATAAAAACAAGAACTCAAATATAATTGCATAAAGGAATGGATTAGATAACGTCACTGTTTCCAGTTTATGTGAGAGGCGACCACAGCATTCGTTAGGATTTACATTCCCTTTCGAGCCACAAATCTCAGAAAGTTAATCATGATGGTATGGGACTATAATAAAATAATATCATTCTTCTCACTCTGTGTGAAATCATGCTTGATACGCTCCCTGAGTTCAGAGTCATGATTCAACACAGCTAACGTAAAAGGCATTCATAGGTCAAAAAGCGACTGAGGATTTAACGGGCTGATTGCAGTGCCGTCTTAAATCACAAAATAAACCGCAAAGAGCAAGAAATCAGTGCGACGAAAACAACCGTACGCAAGTAAAGCTCCGCTCGCCAATATCACATGATGGTTGAGGTATTTCGGAAATAACACTGAGAAACTTGAGGTATATCGGAGCCAGAGTCTCTTTTACATTGTGGAGAAGATGCAGAACACGTTGCTAAAAATAAATACTATAAGTAAAGGATAATAACTGGATTACATAAACAGTATGCATATATCTATATATTAAATATGCTTTAAAGTCTTTCAGCTCCTCCTGTAAAATGGGAGTAAAAGGCTGTTAAATACATGCCGAAACAATACAGGCAGCTTGAAAACGGAGCCAATGTCTTCAACGGGCAACATTTGTTCAGAAGAATAACTTGTTTCTCTCCAAGAAAACCCCTGAGGCCAATTGTCAAGGACAAATAACAAAATATATCGCTAGCAAACATACAGATCAGCAGCATTTAAGACGAGATTTGACTGTGGACTGAAGCTTAGAGATAAAAGTGTGATTGATTATTTACTTTCATGTCTAATATAGAGCGTGTTATTGTTTTAAAGATAATAACCACAGATCACTGGTGACAGATTTGGACACACGTAAAAAGAGCCGCTGGTTTGCGAGAGCGGGTTTAACATTCATTTGGTCCCTGGTGATCAGGACAGTCTATTGCAAAAAATTGGCAAATCGCCAAACCCACCACCAAAACATTTTCATAAAAGCATCAAGAAATACCAGAAACATTCAAATCAGTCAATCATCTGTAAGAACAAGTCGTTTATACCAATCGCCAACTCTAGACGAGGAAGCTCACTTCATGAGACCAATACAACCAAACACTGAAATTCCTGAGAGCAACTCTATTCCTGAGTGCTAGACCGCTAACAAAAGTGACTTTCTTCTTTGCTTTTATAGACCTGAGGAAGTTCCAACAGCAGCATTATGCATTTGTTTTTTCCAGTATAGTGATTTTCTCAGTTGGTGGGTGTTGGGGAACGGCTGTGCTCCTCCTCCTCCAGGTTGGGACCCGCAGATGTCCCCTGCGGCGACTGCTGGGCTTTGGCGGGACAGTTGGCGACCATGTGCGCTACACTTTGGCAGAAATGGCATCTTTTGGGTTGTGGAGGCAACTTGCACTCTTTGGCATGATGGTCCAGACCGCCACAGTTGTAACACCTGTGGAAAAATCATAGTCGCAAATGTATTAATGATTAAAAACAATACCCATAGGAATAATTAAGTACATTGGACAACGGCGAGGCGTCACCGTCCGACGCGCGGTTTGTGTTTTACCTAGACAATGGACACCTCGAAGGGCATTAACCCGCTTAAACCATGCTCACTTGCCAGAATCATATCATTTTTAAAAACATTAGTTTATATTTTAAATAGTTTTACAATCGAAATCTAAAGTTTTTACAAACAATAACTTGGTTTCTATGGTTACGCCTGTTGGTTTATCCAGCAACCGGAGATATTTGTAGTCCGCTCAGCTCGGAGAACCCTTCAGTTTAGCTCACTCACGAGCCAGAAAGTTAACGTATTTTTTTTAAATGTAAGTTAGCTAGCCATGGGTGTCAAACTCGCGTTTAAAGGGATAGTTCACTGAAATACTGAAAATTCTTTCAGTATTTACTCTCCCTTATGTTGTTCCAACCCCGTAGGACCTTCGTTCATCTTCGCAACACAAATTAAGATATTTAAGATATTAAGATCGCTCCTGCATACTAGCCCATAGGCTTCTTGAGGGAATGACTTGCTGTCCTCGAAAAGTCATTAAAGACATCGTTAAAATAGTCCGAGTGACTACAGTGGCTCAATCTTAAGTTTATCAAACGACGAGAACACTTTTGTGCGCAAAAAACAACAAAAATAACGACTTTATTTCAACTATTTGTTTATTTAACTATTCTTTATTTCAACTATTTGTTTATTTCTCCCTCTGCGCGAGTCAGGTTACTAGTTTAATAGCGTAAGCTTCTGTTATTGTATGTCACACGCATCACACACATGACCAGCGTCGGCCAATAGTGAGCCTACGTGTGACGTAGCTCTACGCAATCACACTACGTTAACTGACTACAGGCTCATGGAGAAGGAAGTGAATAGTTGAAATAAAGTTGTTATTTTTGTTTGTTTTTGCGCACAAAAAGTATTCTCGTCGTTTGATAAAGTTAAAATTGAGCCCCTGTAGTCACTTGGACTATTTTAACGATGTCTTTAATAACTTTTCAATGGCAGCAAGAGTCATTCCCTCAAGAAGCCTATGGACTAGTATGCAGGAGCGATCTTAATATCTTAAATATCTTAATTTGTGTTGTGAAGATGAACGAAGGTCTTACGGGGTTGAACAACATGAGGGTGAGTAAATACTGACAGAATTTTCATTTTTGGGTGAACTATCCCTTTAAAAAAAAAACATTGCAACACCTTGACTGCCTGTTGCTATGGTTACTCACAGCTGATGTCGCCAGCGCATTTATTTATTAATTTCGAACGGAAAACAACAGTCAGTCCTTTACTAGGTGTCCTCTAGGGCTGCGTCCGAAATCGAATACTTTCCTACTATATAGTATGCGAAAAACAGTACGCGAACAGAGTAGTATGTCCGAAATCATAGAATTGGAAAAACAGTAAGCGATAAGTCCCCGGATGACCTACTACTTCCGGCGAGATTCTGAAGTGTTATACGATGGACACATTACTATCCCATGATGCCACGGGAGAGGAGTTCTTGTCGTTATATTTGAAAATGGCGGAAACCGGAGACGCGGCTGTAACGTTAGGAGATAAACACAGACACACATGCGCATCTCTATTGATTCATTCATGTTTATTTATCGATGGTAATATCACAAGCAAATAAATGGCTTTTTCCTTGCCAAAAATCAACATCTGTCATTGTTCATAGTGTGTGAGTGTGTGTGTTTTTATGAGGTAAAATTTATTAGGTAAATAAATGTTATTTGATTGTCGGCTCGGACGACATAAAAACGCAGATGAAAACAGCACGACGTTGGTGCAGTCACTGGAATGGGCTCTTTAAATGTTCGCACTGTTATGACAGCGTAAGTCACGCGACAACAACATAGCACATGTAGTACATCCGGACTCATTCATACTACTCGTATTCATACTATATAGAACATACGGTTTAATGGTCGCGAAGTACGTTATTATTTAAATATAGTACCTACTCACATAGTACATCACGTTTTAATGGACACCCTGCAGCCAATCAGAATTGAGTATTCACCCAGACCATGGTATAATGACAATTAAAGGGTTAGTTTACCAAAAAATGAAATTTATGTTATTAATGCCCCCCCCCCCCCCCCCCTTTGAATAAAAAAGGAAAAACAAAATAAAAACGATAGATCTGTCTTTCACGCTGCCTTCACACTGGCAGTTGAAATCAGCTCCGTAATACGCAATACGTTCCCAACGGACGTCGTACTACACAGTGAAAAGCGTCGGACGCGGGTAGACCAAAAATGGCGGAGAGATTAAAGTTTGATTCTGTCAGTTCTGTATGATCTCTCTGATTAGGGTTATGCTGCGTGAGGAAAGTTGCTCAGGACGTTGACATGTCAGGTCGGCTAAAAAATGTGATATAGTGGTCAATAGTTCAATGTCTACCTTCAATTTAATTGTATTAACTGCCCTTATAAACGTTAGAAAGTCATGAAAATAAAAAATGACATCACAACTTATCGTTAAAAAATCAATATTTATTTTATTAAAAGTTAATAATTCAGGTTTGTTTATCAGTACCATAGCAACGGTCAACTTCCGCTGGAATTGTCGGATAGGAACCGTCCGTAGCTTTTCGCAAGAGTTCAAATTTTTGAACGCATCCGGATGACCAACGGACACGATTTTCTTCGCACCGCACTCGGTCGGACCCGTTTCGGACCCATTCGCATGCGGTCTGCGAATCTCCATAGGAAATGAATGACTTCCGGTCGTTTCGCAGCCGCATCGGAGCTGATTTCAACTGCCAGTGTGAAGGCGGCGTCAGTGTTATTGTGGCTGTGTGGTATATATCACGTGACAAGTGGTGACGCTTCGCCATGGAAACATTAAGGGGGAACGTTCTAAAATATCGTTCGCTTGTTTTGCATCAAATTAGCAACTCTACCGTTACTCGTGTAATGGGTTTGACCTAATTCACAGCAGCGCCATCTTGGATTTTTAATGGGAATGAAAGCGAGGCTGTGAGGGACAGACATGCATCTCTCTTACTGTTATTTGATGTGTTTTTAGATTGCTCTGCTCATGAAACACTGTAAAAATATCTTTCCAAGAAATTTCATTTGACAAAAAACTACCAACAATATAAGCTGTGTAAAATTGTTTTATACAGTGGATGCCATTGGAAACACTACAAGTCAATCCCTCACGGCCTCATTTCATACCTGTCATGGCGTTCACTGAATAAGGTCTATTAATGATAATCTTAGGTCTCTAAGGTCTATTAATGAAATCTTTTTTGGGTGAACTAACCCTTTAAGTAAAAGTGACTTGCAGAATTACAAAGCCATAAAGGGACATGGTGGCGGGAAAAAAATATGGGATGCGAGGAAAAAGTAAAAACGCAAAAATGTTTGATAACTTTGCGAGCAAACACAGAATTTCATGGGAAACACAAAACAACTGCGAAAAAAAATCACTGTGTAGGGGCTCCATAACTTATTGAACAGTTTGGGGTGTATAAAATAGAGTGTGTTTACATGTACAACAAACTGCTGGAGACCATCGAAAAGCAGGCCATTCTATATTGAGATATTGATGTGTGTGTGTGTGTGGCTTTTATGGCTTATATTCATATGATATAATGAGAATTTGAGGAGGAAAAAACACCCAAGTTTTATTCAGAGGCTCAAACTGAGCAACACATATGTAATTTTGTGCAGTTGCTTATTTATATGGTCAAAAAAAAATAGACTACTTAGGCTACATAAAATCATTTAAATATCAGCTGTGCCTCTATATCTGACAATAATATGTCGTATAATATCTAAATGCTTAGTTTTAAAACTAAAATATAATGCAATACAATACAATGATGATTGAGAGATGAACTAATACACTTTCCTCAAAAGCCTGATGGATCATATTTAATGCATTTTAACGTGTATGGATATTCAAGTAAGCCTACAGTACGTTGCTTCAGTCCGGTAAGTGTTCATCTTGACATAATACTAACAATATACAAGTTATTCGGTAACACTTTACAATAAGGTCCATTAGTTAACATTAAATAAGAATGAACAATACTTCTACAGTTAATCTTTGTTAATTTCAACATTTACTAATACTTTATTCACATCTAGTTAACACACCGTGAGCCAACATGAACAAACAATGAACAGCTGGATTTGTATTAACTAACGCTAACAAAGATGAACAAAAACAGTAACAAATGTATTGCTCATGGTTAGTTCATGTTAGGTAATGTTTAATTAATGAACCTTATTGTAAAGTGTTAACAGTTATTCTTCCTATCAATCAGACAGAAGAAGGCTGCCATGAGGTGTATTTAGAGGACTTTACGTATTAAATATGAGAGTTGAAGTTGGCTAAACCGAGTGAGCACATATTCCACATTTCCAATGAAAATAAAACGTGGCTCTTTTACTCCAATAAAGTGAAAGTGTTCAATTCTCGGTTCAATTGCATTGACACAAGGATCTCCCAGTGGCATATGGGTGTTGTGTTTGGGTCATTGATGTCCACTCGGCTGAGGTCATGTGGGCACAGGGGACCGGCACTGACCCGAGGCCTTCATCGGGACGGTGTGGCACGGGCCGACAGCAGGCGCAGCGGGAACAAGCCAATGACGCCCTTTGTTCCAGAAAAGCTGCAGCAGCAACCTATGAACTATGACCTTTTACAGCCCTCACCCCCAAACACCCCCCCAGTCCCTAAACACATGCAGTTTCCATGGCGATGCTGACCCCTGACCCCTCTCGGACACCTTCATCTGTTACCAATTAAATAAACTGCGGCGTCTTCTCCACATCCGGAGGTCGGCGCAGGAACTGAGTGTGTGTGTGTGTGTGTGTGTGTGTGTGACGCTCACACTCTATTCAGGCTTGTGAAGAAACAAATGGGATTATTGTAATGAAAATGCACTTTAATCTTCAAATCTTGTAATAATTGTGTTATTGTAC